ATGTTTAAAGACAGGCTCATAATATAATCTATTTAGTTTCTAAACTAAGTTTTTCCTTCTGAAACCTCATGAGAGTTGCAGAATTTATGACGCCTTTATTTGTATTTAATATTTTTTCCTGTTTTTTTCTTTTTTTGTCCCTTTAGTGTTTTGACTTCCTTTGGTTCTTCTCATCCAACATAAGCCAAATTATAGAAAAGTTCTGTTTTCTTTACTTAAACGTTATTTAACAAGCATATACCATACAAGTAAAGTCTCTCCCTTACTGTGATGAAAATGTTTAATATTTTTAAATAGACACATGCACAAGCTCTAATGAAATCGCTGTCAAAATTAGGAAAAAAGCCAGTGGATTCAATATTTTATAAACGAATCCAGTTTCAAAATATACATTAATTGCAATTCTCTAAAGCAGGGGTTCCTAACCTCCACGCCAAGCCTGTTAGGAACTGGGCCACACAGCGGGCGGTGAGCAGTGGGCCAGCAAGCATTACCACCTGAGCTCTGCATCCTGTCACTTCAGTGGCAGCATTAGGTTCTCACAGAAGCACGAACCCTATTGTGAACTGCACATGCGAGGGATCTAGGTTGTCAACTCTATGAGAATCTAATGCCTGATGATCTGAGGCGAAACAATTTCATCTTGAAACCACCTCCACCCCACTAGTCCATGGAAAAATTATCCTCCATGAAACCAGTCCCTGGTGCCAAAAAGGCTGGGGACTGCTACTCTAAAGAAACCTAATTATTAAATGTGTGTTGGAATTTAGGTATTTGTAACTAAATATACTCAAATATACACCTGGAAACATTCTTAAGTTATATTTATATAAAACCAGGTGAGAGACCTATGTGTTGGTATTTCACAAATAATGTGGCTGTCTTTCACAAAAGGAAAATGACTTAAGCTAATATTAAATAACGTTAACGTCTATTTATTAGGTAGTGGTCATATTTTATCTTATATCCTAAATCCATAGGTCCCAACAAGCTGTACTATTTCCAAGTATCGTGCCTCATTTTCTTTTTTTCCTATATTTCTCAATCACATTCTGTACTATAGAAATGAAAAGGTATGGCTTGGGAAAGGTGAGAAGGATTATTCGTGATTTCTCCCTTTCTAGTTGTTTAAGAGATAGGAAAGGAAGATATCCAAAGAATTTTGGCTCACTCTGCTCCCTAAAGAGCTTTCAACAGAAGGAGCTAAGTGCATTCAGCCTTAAGGGGTATAAGAATCCTGCTTTCCTAGGAAAGGCACTTCATTTTCTGTTAGAACAGTGGCAGGTGTTGCTGCTGTGTCACCTGAGGCAGCCTCTCCAAGTGACCACAATCTTTGATTTACAGATTTATCTTATTTGAAAAACAGGCCTCCATGAGAAGAGCCTTTTTCTCCACTGTTTCATGTAACTGGTATGTTTTATAGGATTTTTTTCAAAAAAAATTAATGAAAAATAACCACCTTGACTTAGAATATTTGGAAGCAATTATTCATCTTCCCAAGTGTGTTTCTGGCCCACTTCTCTGGAAGAAAGTGTGACAGCTTAGTGCATACACATAGTGATTCTTATGCATACTATGGTAACCACAGTTTCTAAACTAAAAATGTTTGTTTTGTAATTTTCATTGGAAAATCTTGAAACAATCTTTAGAATATTTTTCAAGTCACATTTAATTTTTTAATTTTTTGTACTTGGTGAGGTAACAGTCATGTGAAAATGTGAACAGAAATAGCATGAGGAGAAGAGAATTCTATTATTAGAGGTGTTGTAGGAACTTAGAGGTGGATGTTCACCTTGCCTGGTTCTCTAGATGTTGCCTATCACATCCCCTTTTTAAAATGAACAGAATTCACCAGTCCTAAGACAGGTCTCAAAGCAGATTGGGAGTTTGGTAAGAATTTGTTGTATTGATTTAAATGAAATGACAATTGAATATTTAGAATGATCTTTGCCTTGTCATTTCATTAAGTGATGAACTTACAGTGTATGATTTCAAATTTGTGATGTGAATTATTTTAGTTTCTCAACTATCTATAGTTTTGGAGAGTGAGAGAGTGTGTGCATTTGAATGTCAAAGTCCCTTCCTTCCTACTGGGAATTTGGTCATTTAATAACTTGAATGCATCCCAAGATTCAGGTATATATTGACTGTGTTGCACTGTACTAATTATCATTAGCACAGTCCTCAGGCCCAAGGAGCTTAATAAAATTACATGTTATTTTTTTGTTATTGAAGTTTATTGTTTTCATATTTAAGAAATTATTTTCAACCTGAGAAAGCTGATTGCCAAAAAAAGAAATGATTATTAAAAGATGATTATTCTTAGGAAGGTTGGAGAGAGATAACGTGGGGAGAAATGCCAAATATAGGTGACGAGGGGAGGGAAGCAGCAAACTACCTTGCCATGTACGTACCTATGCAACAATCCTGCATGGTCTGCACATGTACCCGATAACCTAAAGTTAAAAAAAAAAAGTAATCAAATTTTTAAAAAAGATGATTATTCTTAATATCTATCATTTACTTTCTCTGCTAAGATAGGAAAGAAATGATAGATAGGTAAATAAATGGTAAAATACAGTGTTAGAGCCCCTCTACAAAGAAACTGTGGTAATTCCTTTTTAAATCAACTTCCAAATCTGCTTTGTAAATTCAGAAATATGTACATTTAATCTTTTTAAAGCAATGAATAATACTCTGCAACTTATTATGCACAGTAAAAAGCAGAATAGAAATAACAGGAGTTAATATGAACTTAAAGATGCTCCTTATTTCATTCTTATGCTTCAATGAAATATATTTTAAGGCTATTTACAATGAAGTAAATATACTTCAATGAAGTATATTCTACAAACCAGTTTTCAAATGACTGATACGATTTTTACTTTCTTGAGTTCATTCAAGAACAAAAAGGTTGGCAGTGGTATGGAGAGAAATACAGTGGATTTGCATATCCAATTAAATGGTTGTTAAATGTCTTCACTAGTTGAGAATTAATTGTATATTAACAGCTTTTTTTTGGGGGGTGGGGATGGAATGTTGCTCTGTTAACCAGGCTGGGGTACAGTGGCGCGATATAAGCTCACTGCAACTTCTGCCTGCCGGGTTCAAGCAATTCTCCTGCCTCAGCCTCCTGAGTAGCTGGGACTGCAGGCACGCACCACCATGTCTTTCTAATTTTTGTATTTTCAGTAGAGATGGGGTTTCACCATATTGGTCAGGCTGGTCTTGAACTGACCTCAGGTGATTCACCCTCCTTGGCCTCCCGAAGTGCTAGGATTACAGGTGTGAGCCACCCTGCCTGGCCATATTAACAGTTTTTTAAGAGAATTAGAAAACTGTGTTTACTCAACTCCACGATGTTATCAATTGTAAAATGTACTCATGTTTTATACTACTAAGAAAAGCCTCTGACAAAGCAACATGCCATCAATTGTAAGATATATACCTATGGGGGAAAAAAGTAGTGTTTAGCTGGGATACCTCCCTACTCTCTGAAAAACAAGTCAGGGTTTTATTAGTAAAGGAAAATGGGAGAATGTATATTGGGTGGCAGCTATCATCATCATTTCATTTCCATATCATAAGCCTCTTAAAATGTCCATCTTAAGTACATTATGGCAAATCTTTTTAAAATAGTGGCATTGAGATCTCAAGAAACTCTCTTCTCATTATACTCTTTATACAATTGAAATTTATTTAATTGTTGCTGCCTCCTTTCTATAGCTTTTTCTTTGGATATTGTTTTTATCGTTTCAATCAATTTAACAATTTGATGCAATCAGATAATTCTTTCCTAAAGTTTGACTTAGAGGTAAGCATTTTACCCAAAAAGCTACACGATAGTCTTTAAATTAGAATTTATCTTCTCAATTCCATAGGGACCAACGTATTTGTTGGTAGAACTGAAGAGATCTAATAAACAGAACAAAATGTTCTGGCATCTTGAAAAACAATTTTCATGGAATTTATTCCAGCTTTTCTTCCAAAGGTATAATGGCCTCCTTCCTTAGGTCAATTTTGACACCTCTCTATCAAGTTTTCAGAAATGTAATGAGTTGTTGCTTCTTCTGTTGTATGTGTGTTAGTGATAGGAAATTGTTTGGTATCTTCTTAGATAATGTCATTGGAATATTTTTCAAACTGTGACTAAAATGTCTTGGCATTTTCCATTTTATGCCCACCCTGTCTTCTGTATCTGTAAGGAATGGACCTGACATTAAGACTTTTCCATAGAGCACATGAGTAAGGATTATATAACAAACTATATGAAACCCTTGCTAGCCCTGAACAAGCATCTAAAGAGCATCTAAAGAATCATTCTCCTCCGTCTTTAATAAGTCATGGTAAAAACTATGGGTAGGTAAGTTTATGACTGTATTTTAATGTTTATGAATGTGATTAAGATTGTCACACTTTGAACAGGCTCACAAAATAATCTTCAACTTCTTAGTACTTCGATTTTTTTTGAAAACAGAAATTCTAAAAATTACTTATGGGATGTCTGGTGTTTGGGGGATGATGTCAGAAGTGAATCTGTTCTGTTGGCCTCAACCCCACATCAGACTCATCAGAGTCTGCATCTCTTCTCCTTTTTCTGCACATCTTCTTTTGTTTCTTCCTAAGTGCCCAGTAATGTAAGGAAGCAACTTCTAGCTCCCCAATAGAGCTATAAAGCTGTAAAGGAGACTTAACATTCACATTGCTTCGCAGAAAGGTGCTTATGAAAATTCAGAGACTTGGCAGACTTTAGAAGACGTTTATATAACATTAAAGTATGCTCTCTTCTCTAAATGATTTGATCATTTTAACAGTATGGATTAACCCACAGGATTTCTAGTAGAGATTTTCTTTTGAATAGGATGGCAATAAAACAAATTACTAAAGTGACTATAATGATATATATACACTTACAAATGCTATATTATTTTGCTTGTAGGTATCATAACATGATTCTAGTTCTGCACCTCCTTAACTATTCTTGTTTTTATCTTTTTTAGAACACTGATAAATGCATTTAATGGGGAATAAAAGATGAAGAAGGAAAAAGAATATATTCACTAAGGATTATATCTGCTTACTGCTACAGACCTATGTTGTAAGGAATTCTCCCTCTTGCTTAGAAGTTCATCAGCTCTGTGGTCAGACTGCATTGTTCTTGTCATTGCCAGAAGAAATCCTCATCAGAATGTAAGAGCATGTCTGTCTCTCAGTGTTATGGAAGGTGATAAACTGATACTCAGTTATTAAAGTTACATCTCACCGCAGAAAACCATTCTTCAAAGTGAATAGAAACCAAGCCCTTGTGAACACTTCTATTGAACATGACTCATGGAGAAGAGCTTGGCTCTGATGTGCACCAGGATTCTATTGTTTTAACTTACCTAGAAGGATTACTAATGCATCAGGCAGCAGGGGGATCAGGTACTGCCGTCGACAAAAAGTCTGCTGGGCATAATGAAGAGGATCAGAACTTTAACGTTTCTGGCAGTGCGTTTCCCACCTGTCAAAGTAATTGTCCAGTTCTCAATACGCATACATATCAGGGATCTGGCATGCTGCATCTCAAAAAAGCCAGACTGTTGCAGTCTTCGGAGGACTGGAATGCAGCAAAGCGGAAGAGGCTGTCTGATTCTATCGTAAATTTAAACGTAAAGAAGGAAGCTTTGCTGGCTGGCATGGTTGACACTGTGCCTAAAGGCAAACAGGATAGCACATTATTGGCCTCTTTGCTTCAGTCATTCAGCTCTAGGCTGCAGACTGTTGCTCTGTCACAACAAATTAGGCAGAGCCTCAAGGAGCAAGGATATGCCCTCAGTCATGATTCTTTAAAAGTGGAGAAGGATTTAAGGTGCTATGGTGTTGCATCAAGTCACTTAAAAACTTTGTTGAAGAAAAGTAAAGTTAAAGATCAAAAGCCTGACACGAATCTTCCTGATGTGACTACAAACCTCATCAGAGATAGGTTTGCAGAGTCTCCTCATCATGTTGGACAAAGTGGAACAAAGGTCATGAGTGAACCATTGTCATGTGCTGCGAGATTACAGGCTGTCGCAAGCATGGTGGAAAAAAGGGCTAGTCCCGCCACCTCACCTAAACCTAGTGTTGCTTGTAGCCAACTGGCATTACTTCTTTCAAGTGAAGCCCATTTGCAGCAGTATTCTCGAGAACATGCTTTAAAAACACAAAATGCAAATCAAGCAGCAAGTGAAAGACTTGCTGCTATGGCCAGATTGCAAGAAAATGGCCAGAAGGATGTTGGCAGTTTTCAGCTCTCAAAAGGAATGTCAAGCCATCTTAATGGTCAGGCAAGAACATCATCAAGCAAACTGATGGCTAGCAAAAGTAATGCTGCAACATTTCAAAATCCAATGGGTATCATTCCTTCTTCCCCTAAAAATGCAGGTTATAAGAACTCACTAGAAAGAAACAATGTAAAACAAGCTCCTAACAATAGTTTGCTTTTACATCTTCTTAAAAGCCAGACTATACCTAAGCCAATGAATGGACACAGTCACAGTGAGAGAGGAAGCATTTTTGAGGAAAGTAGTACGCCTACAACTATTGATGAATATTCAGATAACAATCCTAGTTTTACAGATGACAGCAGTGGTGATGAAAGTTCTTATTCCAACTGCGTTCCCATAGACTTGTCTTGCAAACACCGAGTTGAAAAATCAGAATCTGACCAACCTGTTTCTTTGGATAACTTTACTCAATCCTTGCTGAACACTTGGGATCCAAAAGTCCCAGAAATAGATATCAAAGAAGATCAAGATACCTCAAATAATTCTAAGCTAAACTCACACCAGAAAGTAACACTTCTTCAATTGCTACTTGGCCATAAGAATGAAGAAACTGTAGAAAAAAGCACCAGCCCTCAGGGAGTACACAATGATGTGACCAAGTTCAGTACACAAAATTATTCAAGGACTTCTGTGATAGAAAGCCCCAGTATAAATCGGACTACTCCAGTGAGCACTCCACCATTACTTACATCAACCAAAGCAGAGTCTCCCATTAATCTCTCTCAACACTCTCTGGTTATCAAATGGAATTCCCCACCATATGCCTGCAGTACTCAGTCTGAAAAGCTAACAAATACTGCATCTAACCACTCAGTGGACCTTACAAAAAGCAAAGAACCTCCAGGAGAGAAACCAGCCCACAGTGAAGGTGCACAAAACTCTGCAACTTTTAGTGCCAGTAAGCTGTTACAGAATTTAGCACAATGTGGAATGCAGTCTTCCGTGTCAGTGGAAGAACAGAGATCTAGCAAACAGCTGTTAACTGTAAACACAGATAAACCGATGGGTATGATTGATAGATTAAATAGCCCTTTGCTCTCAAGTCAAACAAGTGTGGTTGAAGAAAATAAAGCATTTAGTAGTCAACCAACAGTTCCAGAACCAGGACTTTCTGGTTCTGAAATAGAAAATCTGCTTGAAAGACGTACTGTCCTCCAGTTGCTCCTGGGAAACCCCAACAAAGGTAAGAGTGAAAAGAAAGAGAAAACTCCCTTAAGAGATGAAAGTACTCAGGAACACTCAGAGAGAGCTTTAAGTGAACAAATCTTGATGGTCAAAATAAAGTCTGAGCCTTGTGATGACTTACAAATTCCTCATACAAATGTGCACTTGAGCCATGATACTAAGAGTGTGCCATTCTTGGGTATGGCTCCTGCTTTGCAAAGAAGCACACCTGCCTTACCAGTGTCCGAGGACTTTAAATCGGAGCCTGTTTCACCTCAGGACTTTTCTTTCTCAAAGAACGGTCTGTTAAGTCGATTGCTAAGACAAAATCAAGATAGTTACCTGGCAGATGATTCAGACAAGAGTCACAGAAATAATGAAATGGCACTTCTAGAATCAAAGAATCTTTGCATGGTCCCTAAGAAAAGGAAGCTTTATACTGAGCCATTAGAAAATCCATTTAAAAAGATGAAAAACAACATTGTTGATGCTGCAAACAATCACAGTGCCCCAGAAGTACTGTATGGGTCCTTGCTTAACCAGGAAGAGCTGAGATTGAGCAGAAATGATCTTGAATTTAAATATCCTGCTGGTCACAGCTCAGCCAGCGAAAGTGAACAAAGGAGTTGGGCAAGAGAGAGCAAAAGCTTCAATGTTCTGAAACAGCTGCTTCTCTCGGAAAATTGTGTGCGGGATCTGTCCCCTCACAGAAGTAACTCTGTCACCGACAGTAAAAAGAAAGGACACAGAAATAATGTGACCAACAGCAAACCTGAATTTAGCATTTCTTCTTTAAATGGACTGATGTACAGTTCCACTCAGCCCAACAGTTGCATGGATAACGGGACATTTTCATACCCAGGAGTGGTAAGAACTCCTGTGAGTCCTACTTTCCCTGAGTACTTGGGCTGTGCAGGGTCTAGACCAGAATCTGGGCTTTTGAATGGGTGTTCCATGCCCAGTGAGAAAGGACCCATTAAGTGGGTTATCACTGATGTGGAGAAGAATGAGTATGAAAAAGATTCTCCAAGACTGACCAAAACCAACCCAATACTATATTATATGCTCCAGAAAGGAGGCAATTCTGTTACCAGTCGAGAAACACAAGACAAGGACATTTGGAGGGAGCCTTCATCTGCTGAAAGTGTCTCACAGGTCACAATCAAAGACGAGTTACTTCCTACTGCAGAAACGAAAGTTTCTTTCTTTAATTTAAGAAGCCCTTACAATAGCCATATGGGAAATAATGCTACTCGCCCACACAGCGCGAATGGAGAAGTTTATGGACTTCTGGGAAACGTGCTAACAATAAAAAAAGAATCAGAATAAAATGTACCTGCCATCCAGTTTTGGATCTTTTTAAACTAATGAGTATGAACTTGAGATCTGTATAAATAAGAGCATGATTTGAGAAAAGCATGGTATAATTGAAACTTTTTCATTTTGAAAAGTATTGGTTACTGGTGATGTTTAAATATGCATACTAACTTTTGCTTAACATTAGATGTCATGAGGAAACTACTGAACTAGCAATTGGTTGTTTGACACTTCTGTATGCATCAGGTAACAACTGTGAGTAGCCTATGAATGAAATTCTTTTATAAACATAAATAATAGGCATAAATTAAAATGTAAAATTCCATTCATAGTGGATTAATGCATTTTGCTGCCTTTATTAGGGTACTTTATTTTGCTTTTCAGAAGTCAGCCTACATAACACATTTTTTAAAGTCCAAACTGTTAAACAAGTCTTTAAAGGATAATTATCCAATAAAAAAAAAAAAACCTAGTGCTGATTCACAGCTTATTATCCAATTCAAAAGTAAATTAGAAAAATATATGCTTACATTTTTCACTTTTGCTAAAAAAGAAAAAAGTGTTTATTTTTAACTCTTGGAAGAGGTTTTTTGGTTCCTAGTGTGTCTGTCCCACCCTGGTCCTTTTCAATATATATTTCTTTAAACCTTGTACTACTTAGTAAAAATTGATTACAATTGAGGGAAGTTTGATAGATCCTTTAAAAAAGGCAGATTTCCATTTTTTGTATTTTAACTACTTTACTAAAACCCCTCCTTTTACAGAATTAGAAAAGTTAACATTTATCTCTAGGTGGTTTCCTGAATAGTTCAATATTTAAGAAATTGTTTTTAACAGAAGCAAAATGGCTTTTCTTTGGACAGTTTTCACCATCTCTTGTAAAAGTTAATTCTCACCATTCCAGTGGTACCTGCAAGTCTTATGACCAGGATTCCTTAAAGCTGAACTCAGACCACTTGCATTAGAACCATCTGGAGCACTTGTTTTAAAATGCAGATTCATAGGCAGCATCTCAGATCTACAGAACAAGAATCTCTGCTAAGTGGACCTGGAATCTTCCATCTGCATCTTAACACGCTCCCTAGGTGTTTCTTCTGCACCTTGATGTTTGAGAACCTTGGCTGATAACTTTCCTCAGAACATGAGACTGTAAAACAAAAACAAAAAACTATCTGATGCCTCTATTTTCCCCAATACAGTCACACATCAGCTCAAAATTTGCAATATTGTAGTTCATATATTACCGTTATGTCTTTGGAAATCGGGTTCAGAACACTTTTTATGACAAAAAAAAATTGGGTGGAGGGGACAACTTTCATATCTGGCTCAACATCTCAGGAAAATCTGTGATTATTTATGTGTTCTAATGAGTAACATCTACTTAGTTAGCCTTAGGGATGGAAAAACAGGGCCACTTACCAAACTCAGGTGATTCCAGGATGGTTTGGAAACTTCTCCTGAATACATCCTTAACCTTTATTAAAACCATTGTCCTAAGAACAATGCTAACAAAGGTTACAACATTTAGTTCAAACCCAAGAAAGGCACTAAACTCAGAATGACTAAGCAAAAAGTACAAAGGGCACATATTCATGACAATTGTACACGATCACTCCATTGGATGTATTATTTTAAAATAGTGATGAAAAATAAATGTTGATACTGTCTTAGAAGAACTTAATGTATTATTGAAGCCACATGGGGCTTCAAGTTTGAAACAAGTCTCTTTATGTTCAGTTTGTACAATTCACAATTCATTCACCAGATATGTTTTTAATTGTGAACCAGGTTAGCAAATGGCCTCTCAAAATTACTCAATAATCACTATTAGTTAGAAGGAAATTGATTTAAAATTGTTCTACTTGAAGTGGTTTCTAAGATTTTTATATTAAAATTGGGTATGATTTCCTATAATGATCTAAAACCCTAAATGGTTATTTTTCCTCAGAATGATTTGTAAATAGCTACTGGAAATATACAGTAATAAGAGTGGGTATTATGCAACATCATGGAGAAGCAAAGGAGGCATAAGCTTATTCTGACATAAAATTTCACTGGCCAGTTGAACATATTCTACTCCGTGTCCATACTGTGACAATCTTACTGTCAACACTATATAAATAAGCTTTTAAGCAAGTCATTTTCCTTGATCATTGTGAAAAGCCTGGAGCCTTAGAGGTATGTCAGAAAAATATGTTGGTATTCTCCCTTGGGTAGGGGAAAATGGCCTTTTTAAAAGAGAGTGAAATTTAGGTCAGAGAAAAGACCATCCAGGGCCAGCATTGCTATTTTTTCTTTTTATGAATCTTGTTTTGTTTTTGGTTGGTGGGTTGGTTGTTTTCATTGTTGTTAACAATTAAAGGAATGAGAATATGTAATACTTAAGTAAATATGACCACAAAGAATGCTGTTCTGATTTACTAGAGGATGTCCCCAATTTGAATTGAGGGTGATTTAAAGAACAATGAGAAAGGGCATACATCCACAGATTCACTTTGTTTATGCATATGTAGATATAAGGATGCACATATACACATTTTCAAGGACTATTTTAGATATCTAGACAATTTCTTCTAATAAAGTCGTTTGTGAAAGGGTACTACAGCTCTCATTGACATCAGTAAGATAGCATTCATTACCTGTTTATTCTCTGCTGCATCTTACAGAAGAGTAAACTGGTGAGAGTATATATTTTATATATATATATATATAATATGTATATATATATATTGACTTGTTACATGAAGATGTTAAAATCAGTTTTTAAAGGTGATGTAAATAGTGATTTCCTTAATGAAAAATACATATTTTGTATTGTTCTACTGCAACAGAAAAGCCTTTTAATCTCTTTGGTTCCTGTATATTCCATGTATAAGTGTAAATATAATCAGACAGGTTTAAAAGTTGTGCATGTATGTATACAGTTGCAAGTCTGGACAAATGTATAGAATAAACCTTTTATTTAAGTTGTGATTACCTGCTGCATGAAAAGTGCATGGGGGACCCTGTGCATCTGTGCATTTGGCAAAATGTCTTAACAAATCAGATCAGATGTTCATCCCAACATGACAGTATTCCATTTCTGAACATGACGTCTGTGGTTTAAGCTTTGTGAAAGAATGTGCTTTGAATCCAAGGGTCTTAAACAATTTTTTTAAATCAAGTCAACCACTTTTAAACATAAAGAATTCACGCAACTACTTTCATGAATTTTTTAATCCCATTGCACACATTATTCCAAGAGTATCCTGGTATTAGCAATACTGGAATACAGGCACATTACCATTCATAGTAAGAATTCTGGTGTTTACACAACCAAGTTTGATGCGATCTGCTCAGTAATATGTCATTTTTATTAGAAATTTAATTTCTTCATGTGATGTCATGAAACTGTACATACTGCAGTGTGAATTTTGTTTTGTTTTTTAATCTTTTAGTGTTTACTTCCTGCAGTGAATTTGAATAAATGAGAAAAAAAATGCATTGTCTTTGGTTTGAAATGACTGTTATTTTATGGGCTTTTTCTGGTTTTTAGGTTTTCCATAAACATAAAACCCATTGCTGTGAATACAACGGTGATGTTCAAGGATGTTTTGCTCTTCTCAGAAAAATAAAGGGGACAAAAAAAGAAGGTGGCTAGCAAGTTAGTGCACTAAAAAAAGTAATTAAGGAATAGCTCAAAATGACAATCAGCCTTTAGCCTCTCTCCCATGTTTCAGTGTGTAACTAGTTGATTACTGTAAATTTTTAAGCTATAATTTGTGCAGTATTCAAATTTAATGTTGACTATACGTATATACATACACACTTCGTTTTAAGAAAAGACTTTATCTGAAGGCTTTTATCCAGTTTTTGATGGGTGTTGTATTTAAAATAAAAGAAAAAAGGAGTTTAATGCTTTTCCAAAAATGAATATGTATGTATGTACATGTGTGTACATATTTAAATACATACTATATATGTATAGGTAATGAGTAATTGGATTTAAATATATACTATATATGTATGGGTAATGGTAAGCAACATACATACGTAATAAGTATTGGACCAGTGGAGTCCAAGAAAAAAAATTCCTTTGTATCCTTGTAAATTTATGGCTTAGGAATTTTTATTTTTACAAATAATGGTAATTTATGAGAAAGACATTTTCCCAAAGAGGAGCTCTGTTTCCTGGGACACAAATAGGTCTATTGTAATCCATGCAGCTTCTCTATTAATAAGTTTATAAATAAAAATGTTCAAGTAGTAGGAATCCTTCCTGCTGTTCTACATTATTAAAATGCTGAAAAATTGCATCTTGCTATTTGTATAGATGCTGACATCAGAATGAGACATGCACAGCCATGTCTGCTTTATTTATTTATATGATGAAAAAGCATGACAAGTGCCTCGAGTAGTGAATTGTCCGGGAGAGATTTTTATGAAGAGAAGCACCAGTTAGCTATTCTTGATTATGAAATAATATCCATGACTTTAATATGGAGGCTCTTTAAAAATCAATTCCAATTAAAATCCCTCATACTATATAAGGTTCTGTTTCAAACTTGTTAGTGTGGAAAATCAACAACAAAGTGATTTTGAAATTTATTTTTCTACCACTAGTATCACTAAACTATGATCTGTTTGACTATAGGAAATAATTTATCATTAAGCATACTGGTAATTATTTATTCCATAAAGCTTGTATTTAATACTGCCTCACCTTATAAGGGTTGGTAGAGGAAGCTATTGGCTTCATTTAGCATTCATTTAATGCTCCCAAAGCTCTGTAAGTGATTGGTACAATATTTACAACATTTTTCGGATTCTGTCTTCATAAATCAGTTGGAAACTCCCACTCAAAAACAGAATTGATGTACTCGAGTTGGAAGCAGAATAATAGGATATAAAGTCCCATAAATTCCAGTTCTGGGAGGTGCTACTGCACTTTTGTTGTCTTAAAGTGTCTAAAAGTATATAAACCTTTTAATCAATAAACCAAATTTTGAATTAGTGTACTTTGCAGTCAGAAGAGAATTTTCAGACACTGAAAAATCTTCTTGCAGCCCTCGTGTTGACACAGAGTCCCAGACAGCCTTCTATTCTCCCTCTATTGCCTTTACCAAACTTAATTGGTATGTGTTCCAAACCTTAAGAAAAGCTGCAGTCCTTTTGGAATATTCATTTTCCTCACTTTAGCTGATAAACACTCACCTCTGAGATCACATCTGGAAAAGAAATGACCTTACATTTTATAGTTGTCACTGCCCGCATTTTTGGAAAGCCACGTGAATAATGCGACACGGTAGAGCCACGCTGCAGGTACAGTACACTGTCTTAGAGCATATTGTCCCTTAGCTAATTGATATAATAATCCAAGGATAGAACCATGGGGTAATTTTCTTATAATTGGAAAACTACAATTTTCTCTAAAGTCCGAAGGGTTGCCTCTGGCAAACATTAATAGCTAATCTTTTCACGAGCAGGCTTCAAGACCTTAAAAGACTTTTAGCACCACGTTAGATGTACCAGCTAGCCTCGTTACATTTTGCGTTGTGCATTGCATTTTGCCTCTCTGCCCGTGTCTTATGAGTTTTGTTATGTTCTTGTTTTATTCACAGTAGCATCTTTGAATATATAGAGATGCTTAAGTAAAACTTTTGAGAACACTGGGAGAGATCCTGTTTCTCTCTCCTTCATAATTCTGTAATCACTTTCAAAAGCCATAGTTATAATGCAAAGCTTAGCCACTTCCCCAACTTCTAAATCATGGCTTTCTGCTTTTAATTACGTTTCTTTTGTGGGGAAAATTATCCATTAAAAAAACATTTAGAGTGCTGATACCCTAATGTGGATAAAAACAAGGGCTCAATCCAGTCTGTGGGACAGAGTAAAGTACAGGAATAAAACCAGTGGGGTAAATGCTGTAACACACACTGATCAATAAACTTCACATCTCTAGCAAAGGCCTTTCTCTCCCTAATTGTTTTCCTATGACAAATAAATACTTTTTCTCACAAGGCCATGCCTTTGGGTTTGCTACCTACTTTCACATCCCTGACTCCACTTCAACATAGAAAGTGTTTCTTTAAAGTCGCAGTGGCCTTTCCCTATGTCCATCAAAATCTGGGCTTTTATCCATAGGGCTCTTTGCTCTCTTCCTGCTTTTCTAAGGGCAGTTGACAAATGGGGGGGGGGGAATTTCTTCCATTCCCCACCCCCAACAATATCCACAAAGAGATTTTTATCTCCTAAGTGGAGTAAAAAATGGGGACTTAACACATGCCTAAGCTCGTGGTAGTCTGGATTAATTTAGGACTTCGTAGGCTAAAGCATGATCACCTGCTGTTACCCACACATTCAACTCCATAATCAAATCTACTATCTCATTTTTCATAGTTCCCTGCTAATAAAGATAATCATGATAATCTTTCCAAAGCGAGCAGCAGGGATGGGCGTTTAAATCCCTTTGGAATTGCTTGCATCCCAGAGAATTTTGTGCCCTTACTACCAAAGTCAGTTTTACTTGCCAAAGAATAGATAGCCTTCCGAAGGGGAGATTTCCTGCTTGTGGTTCACTCTGAAAATGCCTGTGCTGGGGAGACTGAGATGCCTAAGGGTGAAGTTCCGGTATACTTTGACTATTGTGGCTGATATATACCAAGAATGTAACAATCAAAGATCACACAGAAAACGGGGAGGCCTGAGTCAGAAACAGCAACTCCTACTACTTGCATGTCTGGCCTGGGCAAACCATTGACCCATTTTTGTCTTTGGTTTTCAAAACCCAGTGTCTCCTAATTCTCTTCTTAATGCTAATTTCATCTGGTCTCATAACAGATTCCTTTTCCCATAACTGTCCATGTTCCACCTTACAACTATCACTTTTTTCATTACATCTTCAACAGAAACAGCCATCCCTTTATCTACAAACACCCCATACTTTTTTCCAAGTTCCTTCTAATTGTCTAGTTGTCCTCTGTTTCCTACCACTCATGGATATCCAGCTTGTCCATCTATTAATATCTAAACTTCACCATGCCCCAATCTTGAATTCAGTATACAGTCATTCTCCCCAATTTGTTCTTCTATTCCTTTGTAGGAAATGTGCTTATTTCTAAAAATGTTGGTCCCCAGCGGACTCATCTTATGGTAGCCACTATTATTTTGTAGACTTTCCTAATACATAGCTTATAACCGATAACTTTTGTCTTAACCCAGAGCTTTCTCATGCCTCGCCTCAGTTATTGCTCTAGCTCTGCTTCACCTGCCTGCCTCCCCTTCCCAGTTGTAATAGCCACCATTGCTAGAGCAATCATTCTGAAATACACATCTTCTGTTAAATCTGCTTAAAATCCTCTGGTGACTTTATTGCTTATGAAATTGCACACTCACATGTCTATAGGGACCTGGGGGAGTAGTAAAGTATGTAAGGCTTTTGGTGAAATAGCTCAGGAAGGGGTGGATCTACCTTAAATGGAGGAGCTGAAGCTATTCTAATTCAAATATTTTTTAAAAAAGAAAAATCCATGTGTTAGCCAAACAAAAGTGACATAACTACTGGTGTCTAGTGTGAGTTCATGGGATTAATTCTGCGTCCTCCAAGCTCCTTTGACATCTGGCTCCACTGTATTTTCACCTTTTCAACTCGTTCTCCTACCCTCTAACACCATTCGGCGCATCATCAGCAATCACTCCGTGTTCAAACATTCCCCAGTAAGAACTCACTATTTCCTGAGTGCTCCTGCTTTCTTGGCATCAGTGCGTTCAGTCACGTAACATTCTCTGCCTAAAATACCTCCTTCCTTTGCTCATTCTGAACCTAGTAAACTCCTATTCACCTGTACAACCTAACACATTTACTTCCTCAAAGTAGCCGTCCCTCCCTAATTCACTATTGTAGGACAGAGTGTGTTTCTCAGCCCTTTGCAATGCCAAAGGCTTATTGCACTTATTATAATGGTTAACAACATATGTAACTTTATATCCCATCTAAAGGCAAGAAAGGAATCTTCTTAATCTTACATTCAGTGAGTGCCTAGTACATATCTTTTTTTTCTTTTTCTTTTCTTTCTTTCTTTCTTTTTTTTTTTTTTTTTTTTTTTTTGAGACAGTCTTGCTTTGTCCCCCAGGCTGGAGTGCAGTGGTGCGATCTCGGCTCACTGCAACCTCCACCTCCTGAGTTCAAGCACTTCTCCTGCCTCAGCCTCCCCAGTAGTTGGGATTACAAGCATGCGCCACCATGCCCAGCTCTGACCTCAAGTGATCTGCCCACCTCGGCTTCCCAAAATGCTAGAATTAGAGGCGTGAGCCACCTGGTACATGTCTTGATATGTAACAGTTACTCAATAAATGTATGCCAAATGAGAGAATGAATGAAAGCCGATTTCAAACAAAAAATGATAGGCTCTCCTCCCTGTCTGGAAGGAAACTGAGTAATGTATAAGGTAGGGATGCAACCGCTTCCCTGAGGCAAGTCCCAGCCTCCCTAGCCACCTCTAGCCTAGGG